TGAATGAAATCTTTTTAAATAAAATTCCTCTGTTGGCACACAGCCAGGCGCCGCCGTTGCAGACAACCCATTTGGGATTGCGCCTATAATCTACAAGGAAGGGTTTGGGTGTTTGAGATTAGCTGTTTTTGCTTGTTTTCCATCATTCCAGTTTGTAGAGCAGGGCAGATCCAAAACTGACCTCTGCCTTGAAAACAGGCAAACGTTATCCTTCCATCTCTTCAAATATTTTCAATAAAACAACTTTAAATTAAAAGCTTACCCAATTCCTCTACCTTTTCAGGAATATCTTTAAACAATGAAGTGAAACGGGTTATTTTTTATGTGTTGGTGATATTGTATTAGCCTATGTATTTATTTGTTGGTTAGGAAAAGAAAAAGAAAGAAAGAGTCAAACCAAAAATATAAATGAGTATGAAAGCAAATCTCTCCCTCCCTTCCGCTGGCTGCTTGGATTTTGTTTTTGAAAACTGATTTCCTTTGCTGCCTCCCTTTCAGGTTCTTCCGTATATAGGAAATCTTTTTCCAGCTTTTTCAGATGAGATGAGGAACAACTCGGATCTTTTTAATTTTGAAATGGACTAAATATTCCCTTTTGTTCATGGCTTGTACTTTAACCCAAGGGGGGGGGGAGGAGGAGGAGGAGGAGGAGGGAGAAAGTGGATTAAATCAACCACAAAAACCAAGCCTCTCCCCCACCAGTGTAGTAAATATTCCATGTGATTTGTGACCCTCGAAGAAATTTATTTTATGTCCATCCTAGATCACTGTTTTGGTTTTTTTACTAGCCTCTTTTGATTTAATTTATTGTGTTGGTATTAAAAATGAAGGAACAAAATAGGGAAAGGGGTAGACTCTATGGTTTGGATGGAAAGATCTGTGCTTTCTTTTGATTCAGATGTAAATACGAAAGCTTGGATATATTTTCAACATAAAGGCAGCTGTTACTGAGGGAAGAACAAGTGGTGATAAACCTTGGCAAAAATTCATGTCTTTTGCACTGATGAGTAAGATTTTTGTATTCTTTGTCCCTTCCTTTCTTCTTTAAAATAATTAGGTTTTGCCAAAAGAATTTAAGCTCATGCAATCATGACATAAAGGAAGATTTTTTTTCTTTTAAAATCGTTTATTCTCTCCAATCTTACCTTGTCACAGGAACAAAGCAAAGATTTCCCTTCTGCCCCCTCCCAGCTGGAAAAGCAGGAGAGAGGTTCTGGGTTCGGGTATTAAATTCAGAGTCTCTTTACATTTACAATTTGTGCTCAGGCATGTTTACTTGGAAGTAAATCCGCTACGTTTAGTGGAGTATGCAATCTCAAATCCTATCAATGGAAAAGTTTTGAACTTAGGAGCCTCACACTAACATGCAGGCATCTCATTCCTTTTTTTCAGGCAGACCGATTCTAAATGCATTCCTTGATTTAAAGGAAAATAATAATGAGGAGGAGGAAAGGGAAAGGGAAAGGGAAAGAAAAGGACATGTTTTCCTTAAATAATGGACATAGCAGAGATCCGCACTTAATGTTAGTGGATCCTAAAGGAATAAACCTGGTGGATAAGTTATAAAGCCAGTGGGCAGGAAAAATTCAGGATCGAGATCCTAGAAGGCTCCCCCTTTCTCTCTCTTTCGTTCCAAGAGCCTCTTCTTTGTCCCTTTCGAGATGGAGCTCCCTTAGGCTCAAGCTCTGGCTCGTTCCGGTTTTTCTGCTGAATATCTGCCCGTCATGATATTAAAGATGGATATTTGGGCATTATTTGCGTCATTGTCTCTATGACAAAAAGCGCCCCGTTCATTCAGAAGGAAGAGGACGCCTCCACGTTGAGAGGCTCAAAAGGTATTTCTTTCCTCCCGCTCCCGCTCTCCTTTTCTTTCTTTCTTTCTTTCTTTTTGTTTTTACTGAAGTTCGGCTCAACCGTAGAAACAGGTTCATCCAGAGGACAAATTTTCTATTCGATTAACCGTATTTCAGCCTGGAGGAATGACCTCTAAACCCTTAACCTCTTGGACCTGGAGCAGTCCCCCTTCCTTTTCGGCAGCCCAGAAAACCACGAGACCCCTCCAGACCCGCGTGGAGTCTCCGTTCCCAGGTTTCTTTTCGGAAAGCGCCCGCCTAGACCAGGCTGCTAACCGGGGTCGGATTGTCTCTGGGTCCTGTTCAAAAGCCTCGTCCCGCAATCGTCTGAATCCAGGGGAAGGGAGAGTCCCCATTAGGCTTGGCTGGAGCCGTTGCGGTCCTGTCGTTGGGGAGCAGGAAGCCGGCAGCCTTGGCTCCTTGGCAGTCTGCCTATTTACTGGCAGGCAAGCCCCCACTGCCTTCAGCAGCCTAAGTATTGAGCCTTGCTTCTTCCGAAGACTCGATTCCAAAGGGGCATTCCCTCGGTAAGAGTGCTCGAAATGATTGCTTGAAGAAAATCTGGGAAGAGGAGAGAACCAGAGGAATCTCCTTGGTGTTTCTGGCCCAAACTGTTTCTCCTCCAAACACCTTAACCAGGGACTTGTAGTCCAGCCACTTTGGTGAAGCTAGATTTTAACTTAATCCTCTTTAGGATCACAGATCCGAAGCCTAATCCTATGCATATTTGCTCAGAAGTCAACTCCAGGGATTGGGACGTAGCAAAGGCAGGTTAGCTACAAACCCTAAAGACTGGTTTGCACAACAGGGTGAGAGAGAGAGAGGCTGTAATGTTAAATACTCTAAGAAAGCTAAAATCCCCCCCACCCCCCCCCCCCCTCCCCCC